TGTTAGGGTCCTCAGTCCTCCAACAGGTGAAGGATTGAGGACTGTTAGGGTTAAAGTATAAAGTTTTATCAGTACATAATACCCGCAACTAAACATCACTGACATGCTGCTTTCACCGGGTATTACCTATTTTCATTTTATAAAAAAACTTTTACATTTAGGAGATGTCATCAAGTAACACTTCTGGTTTTTACATCTGTTAAAGTCATAAAAATCAAAGGCTTGAGGTCAGTGAAAACCAGAATGATACATGTTGCATGAGTGGTATGAGTTGAATAAAGCAACTTTACCACAAGGTGGCAAGTCTGTTTTTCAGAACATACCGGTCTATTGCCGCTGATGCTCTGTTCAATCTTGAAGACAACACTGGTGTGGTCCATTCCTGGCTGAAATGGATGGTGCTGGATGCGATTGTAGATGCCATGAAGGAGTTCTGGGTCAATATCACAGCCATCATCAATGCCTACAACCATGACCAGCACACAAACATCTGAAATATTTGGCTTCACCTCATTTTTGTAATAACTGGATTAGATGAAAATGTGTAAACATCTTTTAAAAAAACAGTTTATAGATGGAAGTGAAAAAGTTCACCTGCAACCATATACATGTACATGTGGTGACACTTAAAGATTCTCCATGGAATGTTTCAGTCCATTTATGGTAGGTCTCATCTTCCCAAGAAAATGGGACTTTTGTGGATTTGAAACTCCCACAAAAATGTTCCACAAAAAAATACTGTGTAGATAATTTGACGAGCTACTTCCTCAATATCGGAGAAAATGGCAGAAAGCTTTCAAGACGTTGAAACTGCCACAACCTGAAAGGGCAGACACTGTGGTATCACAACTAGGCTTGAGCATGGTTGGGAGATGAGGCACCACAAGGCAATCTGGTAATTTGGGTACCTTTTCCATACCTTTCTGGCGAAAAAAATTACAAGACTTTGCTCAAGAGAAACTTGGTATTTAATCAATCATTTTACTTACCACTGAGGTTTTTCACAAAGTCTTGCAATTTCATGCGTCTCTCTGGCTTCACATTGGGACTATGTAGGTCAGTGTTCAGCATGATGATAGCAAATGCTAGAATGAAGATGGTATCTGGTTTCTGGAAGGACCTGGTCACATCACCATTGCAGATACAGTAACGCTGTGCAAATGCCTAGGTTGTGATCAAGTAATCAAAGTAGTTTCTTACTGATTAGATCACGTACATGTATGTTCATGCCCTCACTTACTTGCTGCGCATGCGCCAGAAGCCAGTAAAACGGCTCTTGACTTTGGCAGGTGGACCCAAATATAATCGATCAACATCAAGCTCAGATACAGTTGTTTGACCCTCATTTCCCTACTAATTAGAATTTAACACACTCAAAGTTCCTTTTGCTAACTTGCAAACTATAAAAATTTATTTTCTGCCCAATTTTTGCCCGTCTTTGTCACGTACCTCCAAAGTAACAGAGTCAGAAGTTGGAAGTGAAGCAAACATTTTAGAGGAGATTTATTTTAGTTTTGCCGGGTTTTCCCTGACATTTCTCTACTTGTAAATGCTGAGGAATATAATGAAAGCTCTAATGAGAAAGTACCATACATGTACAAGAAGGAAACTGTATGAATGAGAACGGAAAGTTTTTGTTGTGCCTTTTAGTCGGGTAATTTGACGTGACTTTATGCATTCATGCAATGCAGTAGGCCAAATCGTACCCAAACGCACTCGTATCCAGGGGTGTGTACATACGTGTGCACCATGCCCAAAATCCAGACATGTCATTTTTGACCGCTGCAAAACTCAATGTGGAAATTCGAACCAGCAACAAAAACGAATCGCATTTCAGACAAATGGCTCTAGATCTTGAAAAAAAATGAGCTGATATATGCCAACAATTGATCAGTCTTCCAGACAGTATTATTGAAGATCTGAGGGGAAGTGTGAAAATTGGGTACAAAGTAAGGTGAAAAACACGGAAAATGATGAATATGGGTTCCAATGAAAAACGGCGTGAATTTAAAAAAATGGTTTTCTTCCTAGAATTAATAACCTTTTGTGTGCATAAGAGTCTTTCATGTGGCATCAAAGTTATTTTAAGGTAAACTTGGCAAAATTGTGAAAATTAGACACAAAGCTTGGTAAAAAAAGGTTAATTTTTCATAATTACACTTTGTCGTAAAATTCACATTTTCCAATTTCTTTGATTATTTTCCAGTGATCTTTCTTACCAGAAGTTATTACATATCACCATTTGATAGACTCTTGGCAATTTATTCACACACAAGGTCTTCAAGGGAAATACTGTAACAGGACAAATCCCTCACCTGGGTCACCTCCGATATGCATCGTCTGCTACAATAATTTTTCAGGCTGACGACCATTTTGTCACTCTTGCGCATGCACGAAAAATGCATACACAGTCTATAGGGACCGAACATACGTGAGATCATAACGAATCACGAAGTTCATGGTTTTGCAGATTTTGGTCACGTTCGAATGATTTTTTGGTCTCAAGAAAAGTTGGGTTGGCCATTTCCTTCTGGCAAAACATTGCTGAAATGCATGTACATATGTATATCACTAATGATTCAGTTTAAAAGACTTCAAACCTCTTTGTGACACGTAGGCAAGGTGGGTTTCTTTCTTGAACAATTTAATACTTATATCTCTGAAATCCTCAGTCATTTTTGCTATCTTCACTGAACATGGAGATCCAAATCTACATGTTTGCTTCTACAGCATACAGTTACTCCTAAAACCCTGCTACCATAAAGGAAATCATGCAAGCTAACTTGAATAACCACTGGAGGGAATAATGCTTATGCTCTGGGTGCAAAGAAAGCCACTCAAATCTGGACATTTCATCATGCACCGGTATCTGATATTTGTACAGTGTCTGGCCTATAGTACCCTACATGACTCATTCGATATTCAGGCATGCAACTTGGACTTTGACAAAAACTGAGAAAATTCTCATCTTTCCGAGATTTTGTACCACGTTTTTCAGTTTTCATTGGCATGAGTGTGAGGTGAATAACAAGGAATCAGCTGATCCAAGGAAAAGTTGCACGCCTGAACATTAGGTTTCTCACAGTGCCATATTTTGTTCCATGAGTGGAAAAAGCTCAAATGAGATTATTTCAAGAGGAGTTGCATCACATTCCTGATGTGCATCTGGCAGGGGTTGGGGGGAACAGTTAAGTGTTAGTTATACCTCCATGAGCCTCTCTATCTTCTGAGCTTCTCCTGGTAGCCTGAATGCTGTTTGGAATTTGCGTAATGCCTCATCTATGCACATATCACGGAAGTTCATCTCATCTACAAAACACCTGGTGAAACACAAAAGCCATGATTAAAAATCCTCGATGATTTGAAGACAGGCTCTAAATGTCAATTGGTGATAACACAGGGGAGTATCTTAATCAATAGTTTTACATATTACACAGGGGTCTTAGCTTCAAGATAAAAAATAAATGCAAATACGAACTGGTAACTGCTATCAATATCGATCACAGATAAGAGCATGTTGGTTTCAAAATTCCATTGATTTCTTGCATAATATTTCACATAATCCTTATAGCCAACCTATCAAACCATTTCTGGACAAACCTAAGTAAAAGATCTGCTGCAGCACCATGCATTTTTTGGCTTGGTGCTACAGCAAACCTTTGAACTTGCCACCTTCACCATGAATAGCTTCAAAGCTCATCCAGACAATTATTCAAGAATGGCACTGTGAAAAGTATGTATTTACTGCTGACCATGATGATTATTCTCATAAAAAAATGCATTCTATTTGGGATTGTAATCAGTGTTATAGAGAGGAAGGATGGAAGTGTGATAAACTTAACCTTGTTCAGGATAGTTTTATTACCCTTGAGTTCTGCGCAAGGAACCACAATTAACATACCTCAAACATGATTATTTTGAGGATCTGCTCATTTTAATAAATACTTGAGGAACAGGAGGATGACTGTCATAGAGGAACAACAGATTTATCAATTAACTTTTTAATGACAGATCCACAGGATTTACCTACTGGTAATTCTACTACTAATCTCTGACCTGTCAAACCATGAGAAAATTGGGTGCCATGGTCACATTTGAAGGCATCTTTTGCCTTGTTTTTACATGTAGATTACACTTTGCAAGTGGAAAGCAATAATGATTGACAACAATTTTTGCACTTTTAAATTGCTGAACAGTTTGACATTCACATAAAATGTAAAGTCCGCAACCTTTACTATCATTAAACATGTAAAGTAATGATTGGTCAGAGGTTTGACGGGTTAAAAAACAGATGATGAGGTCACCAGCCTTGATCTAAGGGTCAGTATAATTGTGAGATGAGGTTTGACTATGTTCTTGAATATTCAAATGCACTTCCACCATTCTATTGGTTAGTTCCTGCTGTATGGATTAGTACTGATCCACTGGCTTTTCCAGCCCACCTTCTGATTAATGGGGGAACTCTACCATCAGTGATCAGTTAGTTTGATGCAAGACTCAGTGGCTTCATTACAACACTCTCCATACATGACAGGGAAATCGTATACAACTCAGAAAAAGTAAAAAAATAAACTTAAAGTCAATTTTTTGGCTTATTCCACAAAAATTGTAAATGAACTTTTCACTGAAATCCAACCCCTTATGCAGTCTCCCTCTAAGTCACTTTGGCATCAGATAACCAAGGAACTGTGGTATTTAACATTCTGCTTGCTTGAATGATTATTTAGCATCGTTTTTTCATTTGCAGTTGTAGTGAATAGACATCAAATCAAAAGGTTACTTTTTGCCATATTTTTACTTGTTACTTCCTGGTTTGAGTCCATGCCTAAAAACCTTTCAAAACCAATTCATGTTTGTTATGTGTTGAAGCATGACACTGATGCCACCATGAGAAATCTAGCAAAAAATAACCCTGAAATGATTGGACCAATTCTCTGACCAAGCCTCATTGACGTCAGCAGTCAGGATGAGTGTACTGTGCCCAAGTGATGTGAATTAGGTGTACAGGAAACCACAACCATGCCGCATAGGTCAATGCAAATATTTGTTAGGAATTGCTTCAATGCCAGAAACAGTAGGAAAAATTGTACGTGGGAGTGGCCCAGTCTTCAAAAGATAGTTCCTGTCTGTACTGCTTTACATTTTAAAGTGATAAATACTTTTGGAGAACATAACATGTAATAGTAAAGCTTGAATGAAAACATAAAAGTTGCTTGAGTTGCTGTGATGCCATTTCAGAAAAAGCCTCTGGATGTCGGTGTGGCAGTTTGATAATGAAGAAAAATGGTTTCTGTATTTCTTCTATGATTGGAAATGATCGATATTTATAGTTTTGCTTTCTCTAGACCATAAGCAATTTTTTTTCTTCTCACAAATAAGCAGTTTTATGATGATGTGTTAACCACTTGCTGCTGGGTTTAATTTGAAGTTGCATGATGTATCCCCGGGGGATTTTCAAGATTTTCTGTTTCCAAAATTTTTCAAAAAATCATAACTTCTTTTGCAGGACATTTACACCCGCACGAATGACTGTCTGGTGGCTACTCTAATCTGACAGAAACATCTACTGATTCCCGGGTATTTCAGCAAGGCCCTGCTGCCTTGTACAAAGAGCCCAGATTGTGTGCTGTTACATAATTTTCTTTTGTTCCCGAAAATGGCCCAGTGCGCAGATGGTGTCTTTTCAACAGGGGCCAGATTAGCGTGCAGTGGTATTGTACCGCTCATCACTTTTGCGCTTTTGTCCCCGGTGGTAATCTGCTCACGCTAAATGCCGCAAACAGGGGTATAATCTTTCAAAACAATGACGGATTTCCTCTGCTAATGACAACTGAAAAATGTTGGCAATTCCCAGCAGCTTGGTCTTTTCTTCTGAGTAAGGTCTTTTGTTACAAGGCTTTGGAAACCCCGGCAGCAAGTGGTTAATAAGATGGCCAACATTTGTAAACAGATTTTGAATTTTTTTATTCAGAAGTTTATATGCCACACTCTATACACATGTAGAGTACAATTAAACTAAACAACACACAGGTAACACAAAAAATAGAAAAAATATATTGTTTTGGAAAAGACCAGTGAAATCTCATCCAGAAACAGAAGCAGAAATCTAACCAACCCCCTTACCCTAAACCATGCTACATCTCAACAAAAGTTTGACTTACTCTAGGACAAGCATGTTGAAATCCTTCTGGAGATTACCAAGATATTCTCCAATCTTAGCCTTACTCAACCCCGTCCGGTTCAGAAGGAACTTGGCGACTTCATTGGGCGAGTTCTCCACAAATTTATTATCCACTAGAAACTTGATCCCTTTCTCTGGTTTCCTTTTGGAAAGAAGAAGTGTAACTGTGAATTTACATGCGCAACAAAACAAATAAATGCTGACACTGGAATAGAAATAGAAACTGTGATTGATATTACAACTGATATGAGAACTACCATTAACACAAGGGTGTCAACAATGAACTTTTTGGAATCACTTTTTAAAAATGTCAAACAGAATAACGAATAAGCCAAGACAAACACAGTCCTGAAAACTGCAGTTCTGCCTGCTTGATTGCTGCATCTACACGTATGTTTAGTGTGAATTTCACATGTATCTTGCCCAAGTACATTTCATTCTTTAACCACAGACCAGACAGTAGCCATTTAACTCCTAGAACTGCAGGCCAGTAAATAGGCCACAAATTGCTTGCGTGGAAATCATGATTTGTATGTAAGGATGAAAGCAACAGTACCAGCAGGACTGCCAGCTTGTATTTCCAAAGTTATCAGACAAAACGGAGCCCCTCCAAAATTGCAATGGGGTGTAGGCATCAATTTACAAAGTGGTCTTCACGACAATGTTTACGGGTGATCATTTCTGGATGAAAATATCTTCAGAAGTCATTGGTTGAGCCACTGATATTGAAGGAATATTAAAGGTAAGGAAATAAGCTTCAATTTGACATGTGTCTTGAACAACCGAGAACACTTATATTTTCCTGATTGTCTGAAATACCGGTAGAAGTATTGCTCACTGTAGTCTATGGCAGCTTATTTACTGGTCTGCAAACCTAGAAGATACCAGTAACTGAAGGAGAGGTACTAGTACATGTGAGGGGTGCAAAGTACAGTGTAATATAGATCTTGACTTATCATTGCACTGGCTAGTGACGGGATGCAATTGTTTGCATCTTGTATTTTATGAGTCAATCATAATACTAATGCAGAAATGCTATGCAGAGTTCATGTACATTTTTTCTTACATGTACACATGAACATGCTCAGGCTTTTAACAATGATTTGCATGGCCTGTTTGCTGATAAAAAGTTTTTGCTTCAAACATTAAATCCGAAGTCTATCTGTTCAGTTATGCATCTGAATGGAATGCTCCTTAACCCTTTTAAATTTTTAAAAGGACAACTAAAGGTATATTTTATATACCTTTATTTACATTTGTATAGTAAATACTGATCTACTTATTAGTAAAAAACAGCGGGAAACAGTCAGAGAAACTTGATCTCAAGGTAGCACAATTCTAATAAATCTCCAAAGCTTGGCTGTCTACATGTACACGTCCAACACCATGGTGCACAATCAATGCACAGACTATGAATAACCTAGCTACATTTCCTTGAAGTATCAACTGAATAACTGTGTAACATGTTACAAATTTTCCAATTTCACAATGATTCTGTCTCTTCCTGACTTTTTTGCACTGCACTGGTTGAAACATGCTCAATCGATCGTTCACAAACTACGTGTCCATTCAGTAAGAAGTGGTGACACTGATAAATCACTGGTGTCTACTGGGGTGTTGTTTCCGATACTTACTTGTTAAAAAGATTGAGGCCAATCTTGTATCTTCTCCACCGGACAGCTGTCATAGGAATACTCAATACTGGGTCCATGGGCCGCTTCTCTAATGATTCCATGAAACTAGATTCTAATGAGAGACTGTCTATGCTGTCTGTAATACTAGAATCGTCCCCGAGTGTAAATCGAGAAGATGAGTTGCTTCCCTCACTACTCATACTGTCCCCTGTTTCTGATCGTGCCAAAGTCTTAACTGGTACCCCAGCGGTCCCATTGACAAGTGTCCCATTTCGAGTTGCAACTTTGGTACTCTGACTCTTCCTCTTCCAGATGGGGGACTCCATACCACTGGCACTTCGTACCCTGGACACCAGCTGTTTGGATGTGGAGGTTGGGGGTGTGGATGCAGTGTGCCCTGACAGGCTGACGACTGGCAAGGATGCGCGCTTTTGCCGGGAGGTATGAACTTCATCATCCTCCGAGTCTGTGTCTATTGAGGATGTTGAGATGATCTTGTCTAGCATCGTCAAGGATCCCTCTGGTGTAGCGACAGTCACAGCTGGTACATCCTGCACTGAGTCGTGATCAAAATCACTGGTGGTGACAGTGGAGGCTAATGATATCTGGTCCGCCCTGTCAGACAGCTCCCCACCACTCAGGGAGTTGGACCGCATTTTCTCTAATTCCTGAGCACTCTTTTTCCTTGCTAGAGCTTCAACAGATCCCACAGTGTGCATGCGTGGCCGTTCATAGGACTCCACTTGGGGTTGTGTCATGGATGGTTTGGGTTCTGTTGATGCATTCTGATTATCTGTTGATGAGGAACTGGCTTTCCGGTGTTGCACAGGACTCTCAACATCGAGTTTCCCATGGACACTTCCCCCATGTATTTCCTCTATGCCAGAGGATTGCTTCTGTACACTCTCTGTTGAGTCCTTTGGCACTGACATTCTGGGGCTGTGCCGCTGTGGTTTGGGAGAGTTGGTGGGAGAACCCTTGCGAGTGCGATCACCACTTTTGCTGCGGGAGAATGGCCAGTTTTTCTTCTTAGGAGAGATATCATCACCATTCTTGCTTCGAGAGCTTTTCTTGGCTCTCTTAGTGCTAGGACTGGTACTGCCCTCACTGTCTTTCACTACAGTCTTGGACACAACAGTTTTTCTGTTTTCTGTAGGAACTGGTGGCACTAAAGGACTCTCTACTTCAACTGAAGAGGCAAGAGTAGATGGACTGGCATGTGTGTCCTCCTTGACACTTTCTTCCAAAGTAGATTCTTTCTCCAACTCCTCTGATGCTGGCACTGCAGTTTCTGACACATCTGGCTCCATCTCAAGTTCAACTCTTTCAACTGTTTCAATCTTTTCTTCACTTGAAACTGCTACTTCCTCCTTTGTATCCACTGGTTGTGAAATGCTTTGGTCCAATGATTCTACATGTAAATCCTCTTTCAGTAAGGTTTGTTCATTCTTCACTGAATCAGTGAATTCAGGCTTTGGGTCTACGTCATCAAATGGAAGTCTCTTGGCACAAGCAATCAAGCCAGGGCTGCCAAGCTTACAGGAGAATGCCCGACCACCACCATCTCTCAACTCTGTGTTCTGTATTACCATCTTAATGGTCTTCTCAGTTGTGGTAATTTCAGTAGGGCTGCAATTTCTGTTGTCCCCCCTTGCACTCAAGTCATCCCGAGAGCCATGTGGTGTAGAATCTGTACTTGTGTGGGTATCACTCTCATCCGACTGCCTATGCATAGTCAATGTCACCACAACAGTCTGTGAACTCATGCGGCTTTTCTCTGTAGATGAGGCATCACCATCAGCGTTCACTTTTGAGTCCTGACCAGACGAGACAAGTACTCCCCGCTTAGGTGTGACATTGTTGCTGTTATTATGATGGACTTTGTGTTTCTTCTTCTCTGTACCAACAGTCTCCTTCTCACGTAGTTGCTCCACAGCACCAAGTTCCTGTATATCTTTCAGTGGAGATTTTGTAGAGACAGGGGAGGTAGGGCCTGAACTACCAATGACCATCACCCTCGCACGGCTTCCACTCATTCCCCACTGCTTGGAGTGGCTGTCTAGGTAACGTGAGATGCGTGACTCTGAAGGGGTACGACGTAGTCGTTGGAATTCCCTTTTCATATTGTGCTGTCGGAAGGCTTCTTGAATCACTTTGGCAGCATGATGTGCTCTGATGCGCCCACCATACCGCTTCTCAAGCATTTCCACCTGACACAATAAATACCATACCAATTCAAAACAAGTTAAACTAAGCTTGGCAGCTTTTATGCAATGCAAAATACAAATAAAAATTAAATATTGACTGAAATAAACACAGAATAACATAGGTAGTAGGATCACGCAAATGAGTTAATTGGATCAGCCATCAAACTCTTCAAATTCTTTCCACATCCCTAACAGTCATCAATCTTTCATCCGTTGCAGAATAGAAGACTTGTCAGGGTTATGTAGTCAAAGTGCTTTTACTTGTAACCAATGATCATATTCACATGGAGTTTCAACAAATCCAAGCTTAAAAGTACCCTTATCTGAAAATGTAACAAATTTAAGAATTAGCCAAGGCCTTTAAATAGTTTTACTTGATCATTCACATGTGACAATGCCATGAACTGTAGCATATGGCCAAAAAAACTGTTCCGCTTCTGATTACATGCCTCTCAAAAACACTGTCGGTAGGTCAGGATTTTTTGGGGGGGCTCAATTGTTTGTCCTGAGTGCCACAAAGTGATAACAATTGAATCAATGTAGAAATATCTACAGTCAACAATTCTTAAGAATAAGAGACAATTCACATCACTATGCACAATCCTGGTCAGCTAATCATGAAGGGAAACTGGCAAACAATGTGCGTATATCGTGTGGTGTGTTTGATACATCCAGAGGGAGGGACAACAAACCTCATGTTATGGCAGGAAAGTTTGTGGAAACATGCTCCCTTCAAGTGCAATCAATACATCTCATATCAAAATCATGAAAACAGAAAATACATAAAGAGACTAGAGATCAAGTTCTGTGAATCAACTTTTTACAACGTGCAACTATAAAGCTGCGGGCGTGTATGGTATAGTGTAACAATGCTATTTTGGCTTGGATGCATGGACTTGTAGCCACAATTCCACCATGCCTTCTTAGGCATAGTGTGGGAGGATCAGTGTAGCATTGCACACGTATGTGTTTTCACCACCACCACAATAGCGAAACGCAAAGGAAATTTGTGAAAATAACGCAAGGTTCTTTTCAAAAGTTGCGAATGTAAGGAGGCAAACATATACATACAAGCATTCTGACGTGAAAAAAGTTGTTGAGAGGTATTTTGTGAAGACAGAAAGGACAACAGGATTTAACAAAACAATGTTTTATTTATGCTTTTTTTTCTAACTAGGGTTGGTCAGGAAATGGGAAGCATTTTTTTGGGGGGGTCTAACTAGAGTCAAATTACTGAGGGACCACACGGCCCAGGGTGCACACATTTGGCCTAACAAAATAATAGCTGCGCTTCCTATTACATTGAAAAAAAATAGGTTGGGTAGGTGGGTAGTATCTTTTTTTCTTCTAAATTTCTTGGGTTAATAATTTAAGGGTGGGGAATTTTCCTTTTTTTTAAATTAAAAAGTGATTTTGATGGTCTATGGTATATTCAATCCGCTATTTTTTTTTCTGCGGATACGTAACTTGAGGATCAGTCTTGCCAAAGATTGTATCAAAGTCAGAGCCTCATTGGACAATTATACCTTTGTGTTACACTGACATTGGGGTAAGTTAACGTCCAAAAGTTGTTTGAAAGCTCACACGAAACAATACACATAATTCTGAGCTGGTTGTCACGAAAGTACTAACCTTATTTCAAGCCGTAATTTCATTTAACAGTGACATGTGTGCTACTGCAAATTACAGTGGAGATTGTTAGTCACTACTTCTGCTCACACAGAACGGCTGTCCCACTGACACATGTATGAATACTGATGTTTCACTGAGAGCCAATCACAACAATGACCGTATGGTCCCAGGATGCTGTTTACACACAAGGCTTGCGCTTCAAGCACAGATATGGTACATAAATCACTGTATGCACATACTGTACAGATGCCTGTACAGTAGATTCAGACACGTGTATTACAGAGCTCCAGTGCTGTCCGGTGTCTGAACAAGGATAAGCAGTGTTTGACCTGGCCGTCACGTCGCGTCGGTAGAAAAAGATAAAAATGGAAAAAATGGTGCTTACGTAATGTAGGAAAATTTGGCCTGTTGATGGCCAAAAAGTGGAAAAATAAAATTCAGCATGCTCAACAAAAAAGCCGATATGTCACATCCCTGATAACCAGATTTAGGGTCAGCACGATTTGCTAGGTTGGGGTGGGTAACCGGAAGCACAACTATTATTTTGTTTGGCCTTAACGGGGGGTACTGAAAGCCAATGAACTTTGGTTGTGCATAAGTCACAATTTCAAGTGCCCCTTTAAATCCATTCATGACAAATTTTAAAATGGCATATGAACAAAAAAAAAATCACTTCCAAGTTTCCCAGAAAAATATCTTTTCTTCATTTTTGAGACATTTGTAAAGATACATGTATTTGAAAAATGATATACAAGATGATATTTTGGATGATGTTGATGTTATCGTAGTGACTAGTGGGCTAATGTCTACAGACAATACAATTGTGATGCTTAATCACAAATGAGCATGCATGTAAAAGCCAACATTGGGCAGGTTCAAGGGAACCTACTCTCTCACTAATTTTGCAGGACTACAATTTCAAACCAGATCCACTAAAACTAACACAAGGAAACCAACATGTAATGGGGATCTTGGATCCAACCCACAATGTACATGTACTGTGTGCTTTCCCTATTTGGTCTTTCAAAAAACAATGTAGGTCCTTTGGTGAAGTCTTACTCAAAGTTTTGAAATACATTTTGCAACTTATCTATCTAGATGCACAGAATCTTGATTACCTCTCACAACTTTTTTATCCCACCCCCCATCATAAGTGCACAAGCTAACATAAGTGAAAGCACATTCACCAAAAAAAGGTGAAAATTCTTGAAAGGAATAGGAAAAGGCAGGAACAAAAATTTGTTGTGAGATATTTGGCGGAAAGAAACATGTACATATATTGCACCTGTATGTATAAATCAGCTCGGAATAGCCATATATGGAATACTGAGAGACACAGGTTGAACTTTTTGGTTACTTTTTCTGAATTAATCCATAATACAGCAACAAACCTTGGGCAAATTTAAATGTGACATCACGTCTTACCTGTTTGCTTTTGAGATCTGAAGACAACTCATATGAGTTACTCAACTCTCGTGACCTCTGAATGAGTCTTTCATCTTCTCTGCGTTGCTGTATGGACTTCTCTCGTCGCAGTGAACCTCTTGGTGTCTTCCCTCTCGGTGTGACCTCAAACCGCGGATGTGTTTTGCTGTCGAGGTTAGATGTGGAACGCTGCACCGTTGGTGAAATCCACTTACCTGGCGGAGAGTTCTCAAGGGTGTTCCACCGCACAATTGGCACCTTGGATTTCCCTTCCCGTTTGCCGCTAGAGTCTTTCTCTGTTTGGATCGCAATTGTTCGAGTAGGGGTCCCTGATAAATCTATGGGCTTAGTCCTTCTACTGGAAGACTCACTGGATACTTCTTCAACTTTCAAGTTGAAATGGCGCGTTTTCTCAGCCACAGACCTTGAGCTAAGGAGATCCTCCTCTGGCTCCTGAGATGTCTGCTCTTGCTGAGGTCTCTCTTCACTCTCTGGTAGCTTTTCAGATGCCAAGTCCACTGAGCTCAGTGTTTCAACTTCACTTGGATCACTGTTAGCACATGTAATGCAAGGAAAAGGATAATAACACTTCATTAGAAATCTACCCAAAATGCCGAGAAATTTGCCCATGATGCTTACTGAGTGTCGCAAATAGCTCCAGACACTCAGCATGATGGCACTTGTGTTCATCAAAGTGTCCTGCTGTTCCAATCTGCTGGGAGAGAAATAAGGGAGTTGTCTCTCCTGTGTCGTCATTACAAATTGCTGAATGAACACAAATATTGTAACCTATCCCCACACTGACATGCACTGATGACCAGGAATGTGTTTTATGATAAAGGCCTCAATTGCTGGGATAGTATACAATAGATTCACTGAAACAGAACACACAAACCCACTCTGCGTGGGCTGGCATTTTCTTTCTGCAGCTTCTGGGCTGGAAACAATTACTTTTATCACAAAAATCTTGGGTGAAAATGTAAAAGGGTGAATAAAATGTCAAGTAAATAAGTGATGGACACAGAGGCAACTTTCACCACTACACCTGCTACCCTGAGAAACAGTACAGTTTTATGGAATACCTGCATTTAATGTAAGCCATGCCTGTGCATTTATCAATCATGTCTAACAGCAGACAAACTGCCAATAAAAGGAATGCAAATAACTATTCCCTTGTGTTTCAGAACAGCAGCAATGATGGTGATACTCTTGCTATTAAGCCAGGGAATACTTTCATATATGCAAGCAAGAGAGAGAGGTCGAGGTCTAGAATGCTTTCCGATAATACATGTAAACTGCATTCGGAAATGCTGAAAAGTACTCAAGAGAATTCTTTGAATAACCCTAATAGTCCCAAATCATTTAATATAAATATGATGTTACATTTACCCTGGGGTTAGGGTTAAAACCTACATACAAGACTACAGAGCTATGAGCATTAAAATTCACATGCTTATGCGCAACCAATTTGCTGCCACAAACAGTGAAGACCATGATCCATTCATGGTACCTTCTAAGGCAGTTGTTACAAGATGTATCCCTAAAAAATACCGCCTGATAACGAAGAGGTCTTTCTAATTGTATATCTGTGGAATGGGTGATGCTTTCTGTCAGATATTTTTAAACTTTACTGGCACATACACGTACATGTATGCTGTATATACTTGTCACAATAATATACAACCCACCTGTCTCTTTAAGTTAAACACGGGTACATGATGCACTTCCGTGTTTACATGTGCTGGTAGATACTGGTACAGCACACTGCTTGACCTCACACCACAACAGATAACAAAAACCCACAGCCACATCCTACATTTATGTTAAAATGCACATGATGGAGAATATTGATACAATGTGTTCAAATGTACACATACAGAATGTACACCCTGTTTTGAAGTAGTGTGGTTACAATATACATGGGTAATTCCAGGAATTAGGGGTTCCTAAATGTGACATTTTTGTGTCCCTGATATATCTTTGTTTTCTTTTTATCTTTGTTATATTTGTTATCTTTGTTACTTGACATGGAAAAATCACCAGAATTTATTTCAAACTATTACTATATGTTTGACAGGTAATTTGCATTAATTCATCACTCTTGGAAATTAGAAAATGTATTCTGAACTTACAATATCATATGTCTGATGTGACAGGGTCACGAAAAAATGGACCCCTAATTTCTGGAGTTACCCACATACATATAAACTTTGATGTGATTTAATTCCTCTTTTGTAAAACACTGTGACCAACACACATATATATATAAGTCAATATTTTACACATGAAAAATGGATTCACCCTTTAGCTGGTATTCAATTTTCTGTCGAGGCTCATGCATCCTTTCCTGATCACTTTTAAAGCCTATTAAACAATTTTATTGATGAAATGGATTTGTCTTTGTGAAGGAAAAAAATCAAAAATGAAACTAAAAGAACAATAATGTATCTGTACTGTAGATCATTTACAGAATTATTCTCCAAGCACTTCTTTCTCATGAATCATCCATGAACACAATCCATACTCCTTTGAAACATCAATAGTTTGATGTTAACTACCCAGCTGGCAGATCAGGTACATGTACAAGTACTGCCGTATCATTTTAAGTTGTGTAACTGTTCTTTTTATTGATGAGCTGTGCTGTTGATACACTCTACCGGAAACATACCTAACCAGCAGCTGCCGTATCCACCAGCGAATGCATTCGCTGGTTCAAAAACCACTATGAAAAGCATGCGTTACAACTGCATCGCTACCAACAGAATGAACACTGCCCACCAAAGTGGCTCTGTTCAACTGATAAGGGGATGTTTCTGCTCAGGGCGGACAGTCTTGTAGTATAAAACATACAAACCAGATCATCTTCAAAAAGCCTTCAGTTTAATAAAATTCTCTGACTTAAGTTAATTTCTATGTTGCCTGTTTTTCCCTTGACAGTGGCACCTACAACAAAACATAAGCTACCTAAATAGCCTGATGACAGTACCACCAGCAAAAAAAAGAGAATGTACCAAATCAAACACCTGTTATGGTAGTCTGGTACCTATTCCCAACCATTCTGGTGAATACCCATTACCGACTTCTCAGCATACATGTATATATCCACCACTGAAAATACCTGTATCTTGAAAAAACCCAACAATGTACATGTACTGTGCAAATGAAGCTTGCTTTATATAAACCATTTCTGCAACAGCCATCTTGCTTTAGGACTATGATAGATAAATATAGATAAATTTCTATTCACATGTACAGAGTACATGTACCATTCATAAACCATCAGCAATTTCTGTAGTTACATCTACCTGTGTAGTTGTCAAACTTTTTAATTGGGACATTATATTTTTGACGAAGTACTTGTACTATAACCTGTAACCTGTTTCTTGAGAATCTACCGAGATACATGTACATACATACATATGAGCATATACCAGGGGTAGCATTTAAAACCCTCACCAACAAAAGCAATACTTGTAAATATTAGAAACATTTAGCTGAAATTACAGACCGTATTCGTCAAAAAAAATAAAGTTCTTCAAATGTTTTTTTTTCTCTGACAAGATGGAAAGTTGGAAAAAGCATTTTTAACTTTTTATCAGAGTCACTTCAATATCTCAATGCAGAGCACACATGTACCTGTACCATGTACAATAGGTTTTGACTGTTGCCATGAGACAGTAACCAAGGCCAAAGGTTTTTCAAAATAGTTAATGAATACCATGCATAGTGAGCACAGCTTCCCTGGACTGTTTACTCTTCACCAATTAACCCATTATGAATAAATATCAGTACCTCAGAATAATTAAGAAAATAATACAAATGACGGACATAATTATGGATATCATTGTGGATATATTTAATATAATATACTGGCAGATTGAACATACATGTACATGTGTACATGTAAACAATGCATCCGTCCACATGAAACTGTAAAATACTATTTTGCACACTTTTTGCAAATTGTATGAAAACATGCTCCATGTACATCCCAAGATCAAGCATATTAAAAAAAAAATCATTTGATGTGTGTGTGTACAATCAGCCAATACTTTGCATTTCTTCTTGCTGAAAGGTAAGTATTTATCTGTAAAATGTGCTTGTTTTAATACAATTTTTGGGTTGATTCTCCACTTTTCTGGCAGACCTAATGGACAGATTCCTTTTTCCCTGTGTTATCCTTTGCAGACACCAGGGTTCAAAGAACTGAACTTCATACATGTACACTTACAATGTATTGACTGCAAACACTACAGCCAGTAGATACTGGAGAAAAATGTTTGGCTGATTTAGGTGTTTTCACATGTAGCATGATACATGTAGCATCTGACCAGCATGTTATTTACCATGGAAGGTCTGTTGGAATGATTAACAACTAATGTAACAGTTCAGAAGTGACAGCAGCTAGAATTTCAGGTTCCTTTTGAACAACCAAACTGAGGGAATCTTTTTTTTTTAATTTGTAGAACTCAGTAACTTAATTAGCACTTGAAATTTTTCTGTGGTAAAAAAAATGTACCAATACAAAACATTTAATAGGACTACCGTGATTGAAATGGCAATATTTAAAATATGTGTGCGGTACTGATACACATACTGTGCACAATTTAAAACAAGAAACTTTTTGAATTCACATCACACACATCCAGGTACCGGTAAATCATTCTTGAAGGCTATGTTTATGAGTCATAGTTGCACTTCAAAACTTTGAAGCAACAGAACAAATTACAGAAATTCCCCCGTTCAAATCTGAACCTCTCCACTAGAATGAATCAAATGACTCAAGATTTCCAAACTCCCATTCAGCTGAAAAAATAGGCTCCAGCTCAGAGGTCCCCTGCAGCATTTACATATTGATGAAGCACATGGACACGTTACCATGGAAACTGGGCTTGGTCACCAGCCAGAACAAGGTGAGACAATCCTGATTCACAGGATGGTGGTTTTAATGTCGATTAGGATCTGGTCGACTGATCTCTTGTAGGCCAGCTGCCTCTGGGCTCAATTGCAGGGAGTCCAAAGAGAGACAAGTCTGATAAGTATCTGTGTGGATCATGTTTCTCCATTTCTTACCTCAACTTTGTACACACAAGCCTAAATCCTGGGGTGATTTTCCTTCAAAGAATCATACAAATTAGAAAACATAATACGTGTGTACATACCTTGGGACTGTACAGCAATTGTACACATAATGTATGCATACACATGTACATGTACACTGTACATAGAAAGGGGAAAATCTGTGTACACCAACTGAAATGCGACCAATAAGACAAATCTTGTATATCATTTCCATGTAGAGTAAAGATGAGGTTAGACAGGGTCTTTTTTGCTGTAAATACCTCCAGCAACTATAAAGCACAGTTGAACCTTGTTGATGTAAGAGATCAAGGCAGCGATGGCTGTATAAAGTTCCAAATTTCCTATTTCTATCCAACATACACCGGTACTTTCACTACTTCAATATTAGTATGCTTTGGTAGGTAATAAATAAATCAATTACATGAAAATGGTATACAACTGCTTGAACCCCAATTGATAACTAGGAAA